AATCGCGAAGATCTGAGGGGCAATGCCACTGCGCCCGTCACCCTGAGACATAAGTTGACAAGTCCCATGTGCCTGTAATTTCACCAGCAAAACCGGAACACAGTAATGCTGACATTACTGCTTGGCAGCAGAAATAGGTAAGGTGGCAGTACTACCCTGGACGAACTCTTTCACAAGGAGCTCTACTACTACTATGAATCAATCCGATTAAAGCATAAAAAAGTTATCAGCTAAATTCGTTCGTGGTATCTTATGGTCAAGGGTGTGAATTATCCTTGAAAGTTTTTAACTCTACTAATGCTAGTTCGGCAGTCTTAGCTTTACACTATTGCTGTCTAAGTAGTGTTAAATAATTGTGTAAATGACGTGAGTATATGACGTCACTGAGCATCACTATTCTAATTAATTACGGGTACTTATTTCAGTACTGCTAAGAATCACGTTTTACACACATAGCACATGATATTGACTTTGTATATCACACATTACCGTGCGTTTGAGGAAAACCCAACCAGTTTCCATAGACAAACAAATATAATAAATTAGCTTTTTGTTTACTTTCTTAAAAATTGGTTTCACTGCAATTGACCTAGAATTAGAACATTTTGCAACAGTTTACATCATCGGTGGTCAATAGACATTTGCATATGAAATGTATTTTTTATAACTATTCCAAGGCTTGGCAAACTGCAAAATTTCTGAATCAGTTTAGTTCCGGCTATTGGTACTTTAACCGGTTGTCATTGAGTTTCGTACTTTGCGGTCAGTATAAATCGAAAATTTGAGTTTCTTTCATCGTTCCCATTTTACCCTTTGTTCTTAAACTAGTTGAATGGGAAAATGATGGAAACGTTATGTATGTGTAATACATCGAGTTTTTAGGTTTTCGCGATTGTTAGACATAGGAAATGTAACTATTTTTCCGGATTTAAATCTCGCACCTATATTTGTTATTTCAAACAAACCAACGTTTCGGGTCCTTTACAGGTCCCATGGTAATGGTTGATATGTATGATATGATATATTAGTATGGACGTATGATAATTAAAAACTGATAACAAAAAGATTAAAGATGTACGTCGTCATTTTTTTTTATGATACCAAGACGACGGGACGAACAAGTCGCCCACCCGACGATAAGTGCCATGCCTGTCCATAACAGTTGCATTACCAATCAGTGCTTTAATTCACATAGTTCTGCCACTGCCACTGCGCCCTTCACTCTGAGACATAAGTTTACAAATTGTTTCCCATGTGCCGGTAATTTCACCAGCGTCCTTACCCTTCATAACCGGGACGCAGTAATGCTCACATTACTGTTTGGCGGCAGAAATAGGTAAGGTAGCAGTATTTCCGTGGACGCATTCTTTCACAAGGAACTCTACTGCTACTCATTACGTTGTGGTGTTGCGAGCGATAGCAAAATTGATATATGTTTGTTTGGACACTAGTGGGTTAGCACGTGGTGCCTCCTCACTGTTGTCCAGCACATCGTTTACTAAGTCTGACCCACAATGAACCGCCGCGCCATTCTGTGGTAGAGGCGACGGCAGGTAGAGTGAAGTTCTTATTAGAACATTGTGCCACAAGATGTCACAGACGTAACATGGTTTATTTTTTGTGAGGAATATCGCAACAGCTTTGCATATACTTCATCCTCACTTTCAATCATGGCATAAACGAGAGTGAGTGAGAGAAAGTCTGAGTTACATTGGTTCATAAGTTCTTCATAAGTTGACGCTTTTTTTAAATATTCGTTCAATTAACCGGTAAATCAATTAACGATTGATAACCCACCTGACGATCAAAATTAACCGGATTTTTAAACCGGTTCCATAACGTACAGTTATGATTCAAAGTCATTATGATATTACGACTACTAGATAATTTGTATTTTTAAGTTCATCCATTGTTACGTGGTAGGTAATGGCAATGACGCCACAATGCGAAAAATACAACAATAGCATTGGCTTTGTCATGCTGGAGCTGCATACGATCGCTTTTAACTCGAATTAATTACAGTACATAGTACTCGATCTACAAACATTAAACACATCTAAAAATGAGCTACGTTTTTCGAAATGTAAAAATTGAAATACATTGATAACGTTCTTAACTACGTTACACGCTATTTTTCCTTGTTTATGAGAATGGATTAGATTAATAGAAGCTTTTACGATGTATCGAAAAAATAAGTGGTATAGTTAATAAATCTCTATCTATCTAAACTATGATGCCTGGGTGTTTTAATATCATAGTGCCATCGGATTTGTTCTCTTTCGGACCGGTCTGCGTGCAAAAGTAAGAGGTCAAGGTAATAAAGCCAGGGTTCTTAACAAATCAACACCAGCACAGAGACTTTATTTTCGTTTACTTAACATTGTAACGTTTGGCTATGAACATCTTTTGAACAATCACTTCCGAACGTGACCGTGTCGGTGATGACCACATTATGAATTCCAAAGATGGCCATGCTAAATCAAGTTATTCTAATCAACTTGTTTATTTATTTCACTTGCATCACGCCGCCGTGACATTTTGAATATGTACTAGTTCAATCTTCGAATTTTGTCAGCTTTCGCTTTCGCTGAACCACAATTTGTTTTTTAATTATGATTTTGATTCGTTGAACGGTTTTTGGTACACCGATCTGAGCTGATGGCGGTGTTTGCTGACGTCCGCCTGATATTGACATTGTATTCGAAAGTTATCTTCCGCGAACATACTTTCTGGTTCCTACGAGGTCGTACATGCGAGCACAACTATTTGAAGAAATAAACAAGTGCCAATTTCCGCATTCACGATAGACTAGTTGAAATCATCGCATTCATTGATTCAGCGGTTGTCGATATTGATTTCATTGATTTTTCATCTTAAAGATTGCATTCGATCGATTAATGTGACGTTCGACGTGCCAAAAATGGCCAAGAATACAAACAAATATAAAAATGTTTTATTTCTCTCACAAGGTCTATGAATAGTTCCTTTAGTCTTACGTAAAAAACAGGATGTTGTGTATACTGAAGATTCGCAACGTATGTATTTTCCTAGTGCCAACTCTACCTCCCTAAAAGGAATCTTTTAATATTAAGTTAGTCTTCCAAAACCTTTGTAGGACCTTTGTTGAAAGTAATAGCCACTTCTACAATTGAAAGGCAAAATGGGATAAGCGACACTTTTCGTCATATCGAGTTATATACAGTTGGAATCAGCTAATGTTTCTAACTCCAACGGTATATACAACTCAATGTGACCCAAAAGTTACGCTTAACCCATTTTGCCTTTCAAGCGTCGATTTTTGTATTATATTGTCTCTATTGTATATGACAAAATCTATACCGTTAACATTATTAATATATACCTAATTTAATATGGGGCACATTAAAAAGAACCGAGAACATACTTAACTTAATTAGCTTTAAGTGTGCTTTCGGCTTTGTGATTGAACTTTATTATTATAGTAACAAAAGCACTAATAAATAGGTGCTTACTCAAAAACATCTTACATGACAGCAGTTTGTACGTAAGCATCAATAAGGATGTAAGCATGTGCTATTGCGCCAATAGCTAGACGAGTTTTCCTTAACTCGTGAAAACAATATTTGCATAATTACTTTGATTTTGATTCCACTTATGAAAATAGAGATGCTGCAAGGCTTTTGTGTTTCTTTTGAATTATAGAAATATTTGTTTTATTATTCAAGAGAACCGTTAATTATAGGTATACTTTGACGTAATAGTTGATACAGTGCAAACATCACAACATGTGGTTGTCTATGTGTGTGTCCATGGCACCCGCGACACAGGGTTTCCCTAGTTCGGGGCTATGTTGAGTGTGTGCGTTATTATTAAACATCAAAGTAGTTTACAATGCTTCTATTTTCTCAATGGCTCTCGGCAGTCATCGGATTTCCGAATGTAGGCGAATATTAATTTCCATGCCCATTAATTAATAGATTTAAAACCTATAATAATTAGAATTTTGAACAAGGTTTATTGTTGTTTTGTTTTGATGTTCATGTGAACTGTATAGAGCTGTAAAACTATTTCCCTAGTTTTAATAATAAGAACATATTATAATAACATTTACTGCGTGTCAATAAGCAAGGCAACAAAAATATAAAGTAAATAAAGTGTGCTTCTTTTATATAACTAAAAATGAATATTTTTTCCGGTAATCATTTCAATTCAGTCCGTATCTGAACGCATTTCTTCATCTGACATACCTATGTTAGTAAGTTCGCCATCGATGGAATAATCACTTTCCGCACTGCTCGAACAGGCATTTATTATAAAATTGTCCATTAGCTTTTCTCGCATTGTATAATAAATAAAAAAATGTAATAACAACTCTATATACTTTCAAGTCGACTGAAAGCGTCCAATCTGTACCAAAGGCAACTGACTAAAACCCGACGGCAGCCGAAAAACGAATTTTGCCGAATGACATTGAGAAAATACGCACTGTACGTAACTTTCTGTGTGAAGCTTCACATAGATTTGAAAAATTACATTATTCTCGCTTCTAAACAACATGGCAATAATTTACATACTGAAGTTCAAAAAATAAGGATATACACGAAGTTTTTACTAGCGTGCTATAGTTCTCCGAATAGCCCAAGTTTCTTGCACGCCAGTAGTTATGAGGGATATGCTCGTATATGCTACCTTGGAAGTGGCCTATATGTATCAATCTGCAAAATTGCTCAACCCCAATCTATGTTTCGCAACAATGTAAATTTAGACGGTGGCATTAAAAAATAAGGATATTGCCTACAAAATGCTTGTGTAATACACGAGGTCTTTAGGTGTGCAGGAAAACATATAAACCAGTCCTCTGAATATTCCAACTTCCCGTAGTGTAGAAGGACTTATCTGAGCCTATTTATATTTAAGGTGTGCGTTGTCTTTTTAACTAGGTTAACTTGTGCATGCCCCATTCGGAAATGACTCTTAAAATAAAGACATTATTGCTAATTCACATTTTTCTCACGTTGCAGACTTGGTACCGGCGCGGCTGAACATCGGCATCATGATGTTCTTCGCAACCTTCATCAACTACATGATGCGCGTCAATATGAGTGTCAACATCATCGCCATGGTTTCCGAAAGCTCTAATACCACGTCGTATGTGTTTTTTATATCTTTTTTGTTTTTTTTTTGTTTCGACTTGCAATAAATTTTGTCAAAAGTTCTTTTATCATATTAATGAAAGTCATAAAAATAATAAGAACTACATAAAACAAATTACAGCACCGGCACGCTATGATGGCCGTTTTGACAGATTACAATAGTGAGATCAAACTTCAATTCATCATCGATAAAAATATAATCAAATGCGAGTCACATCTATAACTTTTTAGATTAATATACATATATACTCGATCGTAGAGGTAGACGAAACGGTAAATCTAGGGACCGTCAACAACACCTTCCGAGTAATTTGAATACTAAGTAATTACGAGTGACATAAAGCGCGGGATTTCTATGCGAGAATAGCAGTATGCGAGATACTTTATGTCGCTCTCGCGCAAGTCACACCCTGTTGTGCCAGCCCTACAGGTACTCATTCTAGCGAGTAAAGACTGTTTCACACGTACAACACAGAACCTCGTTACTGCATCTGCTACGTTACTATCTCGCTAATGAGTACCCGGCTTAAGATATGTACTTTTCGATTCAGTACTTTTCGGTTTATTTAAGAGGCAATGTATACGGTTCTGTAATAACATTCCGGTTGATATTCAAAATGTAGTATTTACGAGTTTTAAAACTACAGTGACACAAAAACTTTATGTGTTTAAAGTTTTTGTAAGTTAATTCGTTTAGCACTTACTGGTTGTCTCGAACTATGGATGTTTGAAATACATATTGTAAATGACAAATAGGTACACATGTTTATTTACAAACAGCAATCCTCAGCATTCTTCTCGGGGGAATCTGCCGTACGAATAAGTTATAGTGTTTAATCAACACGACAATTTCAAGTGACATTTGATATTTGACTTTAGTACAAGAATAATTTAAGAAACATTTTAAGGGTTGTTTTCACGGAGGCCCGAAAAAAACCTTTGCGGACTGCACAAAATTTAAAGCTTCAGAATCAATTTTCTACACTTGTATTATTTCTAGTGACAATTGAAAATACGGTCGAATTTCCGGCTCGCATATTCGCCACTCGCATAATACAATCATTTCAAATCTCAGCTTATTAAATAATAAATATATATATTAAACAACATCACAAATACGTTGCTCTGATCTTAAAGTAAGTAACTAAAGCACTTGTGTTATTGAAATCGCAAACAGCGACGGTACCACAAACACCCAGACCTGAGACAATATAGAAAAGTTAGTTTTTTTTTTATGATACCAAGTAACGATGGCGGGACTAACAGGTCATGCGCATGAAGGTAAGCGACACGCCTGTCCATAACAGTTGCAGTACCATTCAAGCTTTAAATCCCAAAGATCTGAGAGGCATTGCCATTGCGCCCGTCACTCTGAGACATAAGTTTCATGGGTCTGTAAGTTTACCAGCACTTTTACCCTTCAGAACCGAAACGCAGTCATGCTCACACTACTGCGTGGCGACAGAAATAGGTTAGGTGGCAGTAATTCCTTTGATGAACTCTTTCACAAGGAGCTCCACTGCTACCAAAACTATTATGACTAATCACTGCAATTTCTATGACTTATAAATTTGTGTTTTTTTCGATTTCCTCTACAGAACTTGTATCATTTGTTAAAGCGGAATAATGTAGGTATTTCATATCCCTCACTCGTCTTATCGTCGTCGATTTTGGTAATTTTTTTTAATGGTGTATTAAAACCCAACTTCGCGTTAGAGACACCTTGTGGCTCTAGGACACTACAGTAGCAAAATCGTCAGGAACACCTTGTGTATTCAGGACGTATGACGATATATTATCAGTGTCACAATATTACAATTCAAAATATTAGGTAATTTAAAAGTAATAATTAATATAAAACAAAATGGTGTAGCTAAAAAATATGAATATATTCACAAAACATTTCTAAATAAACGAACGTTAATATGTATAAACTCAAGTTAAAAAATTGTGTGTGTTGCCAAAAGTAGTAGAACCAAGGTTGTTTGAATACCATGTTAAGAGCTTTCGGGTTAGTTAAACATAACTGCGTGTATTGGGGTAGTTCAACTTTAGCACACAATACAAATAACTTTAGGCAAAAGGTCATCGTTTTCTTTAAGAGTAAGGACAGAAAATAAATTTTGGATTACTATATTTGCTATATCTGGAAGCTTATTCTGAAAAAACTTCTGACAATTATGGAGTTTTTTGAGAAAGAAATTCTACAGCCACTCTGCTGTTATGTTAAGAAAATTATTTTTTTTTCTGATAAATAGTGACAGACATAACATTAATACGAGGAATAAAAATAAACTAGCTGTTCTTGACAGTCATTTTCATGACATCTCAAATTCATTTAAGGGGCAATGTATACGCTTCTAATGAGATTCCTATCGATATTCAAAATTTGGCATTTACGAGGATTAAAACTATAGTGAAACAAAAACTTTATACTAATATATATTATACAGCTTGTGCGTATTTGGATGACAAAAATCCGTGGTAGTGACCCGTTTCGCTTTTGCAGGTAGTCTCGATGTTTAAAGCAAATATTGTAATGTATTCAAATGAATGTTTACAAAGAACAACCATTAGACTTTCTTGTTCATTCTTCTCAGGGGATCATTTGCCTTACAAATGGGCAATAGAATTTCATCAATATGACGATTTCAAGTGTAATTTGCTTACCTATGAAATAAACATTATTTGATTTTGACTTTGGCGTTGACTTTGACTACAAATGTAGTTTAGTAGTTTTTCTACATTGATCCGACAGGGGATCGAACCCGGGACTTCAGAGATAGCGACACCATGCAAAAATGGTGCGCAAACCGTCAAACTTGTTCGTCCTGTCACTTTATATTATAAAAAAACCACTCGATCACAGAGGTCGTCGTTATTACTTTAAAACTGCCACCACGATCAGAATTCATCCATCCAGCATCAATCCTGGCACTTAGGCAATAAATTAAGGTTTAACATTTCACACCTTCGTTGATAATGCAAAATTCATGTCCTCATTACTTAGAAGTGTTCTACGCTTTTATGATGATGACATGTTATGGTCAATGTGGTTTCTGTGGTTGGAATAGAAGAAGCGTCTTTAATATGTAAACAACACCATTTTGACCCGGCCTAATAGGATAACTTATAAGCAAAGTGCATAGCAAAAACAGATGAAGTAATACTGTGCTAGTGAAAAGGTTTTTATTTGGCACCCTTGGTATAATAATAATGCCACAACTGCCCATTTTGCAGTGGCATTGTGCGCCTCATTAGTGTGAAAATCAAATAAATAAATTTTAAAATATAGCTATTTATATCGATTTTTTGTGTAATAACTCCACTACTTTTGTTATGATTATGAATACAAAGACCGAACACAGAAAAACTTTTCGTCGACCCGGTGGGACTTGAGCCCACGTCAATGCTGCACCGTAGCATTGCTCTAACCGTCTGAGCCACAGGTTCAGTTACCGAGTCGTCGAAATTCTATAAAATATAACGTTCAATTAAAATTTTCACTTGGACTAAGTACACTTTCCTGTAACTTAATTTTATATAATTTTCGTTTTAAATAATGTTCACATTTTATAAGAACATTTTAGAGCTCTTTTTAGATAACAATCATTTTATTAATTCAGACAATTTTTACGAAGTATTTATCTGTCCTTTAGTGGATTGGGTTAGATTAGGATAGGTCAGGTTTTCGCGGAAGAATGCGGAAGCGTCCCTGCGTTCCCGCCACAAGGTGCGTGGGGGAACACCCCCTGAAGAGAGGAGAGTCCCACATAACCCCGCGCTTTCCCCGGGCGCAGGGTATGGTAAAAAAAAAACATAACATTTCGTCTCTATTTCTATCCAGAAATAGAGATATAACCATATACTCGATGACCTCTACAAAGTGTTTAACTGGTTCTAAAATAAAATTGCAACTTAAGAACTCGGCATAAATTTGTAATTTATTTGGTTTTCATAAATAAATAGTTTGAATGAACTAAATATTGCGCTGGAGTTTCGCAAGTAATCTTTTGTGTGACATTTTGCAATATTCACATTTCAATTGCAGATCGACAATACCATCGAGTGCGTAATACTCGACGGGCAATAAAAAGCATAAGAACAGTAAGCTAAAGTTATTGTTCTTATTAATAAGCGATACGAAATGTCACACAAACGAAATGTCAAATGTATGTGAAAAATTTAGAGGATGGAAAAAAAAATCGTAATTATGCATAGATTAGAAACATAGAGTGTACTTACTTACTCACTTATGATTTGAATAATGCGCAAATAATGAGCAAATGCGGGTCTCAAAGGATAAATTCTTGAGGTTAAAAAAAGTGCCGTGATAATTATCACTTCTAACCATAGTTTAAAGTCATCAATATGTCAAAGGTCTAGTATATGACCTCGGGTCATAGACAAAACACGGTTATTGAATAAACATATTTATGTTTAAAGCAAATTCATTAAAATCAATTTCCTATAAGTTGAAGGCACAGAAAGCAGGTCAAGAATTCCTAAAATCGTTTGCTTGTAAGTAACGATAGAGGAAAACGACGTAAATATATTTACATCTTTTCTGATTACTATAAATAATAGCTTTCTGCAAGCCTGGCCGGCTATAAGCGCCACCAGCTACCTAACAGGTGGTTAATTGACTTAACACTTTCCCGTAATAATAGTTAAGTGTTACGTCGCTTTATACATAAATAACTCGTGTAATGATCTGTTTTTTAGTAATGTAATTAAGATTGACGAGCTTATTTCTTTGAGTTGTACGACCGGCCTATATTTGGTTCGTCTATTTGAATATTATAAAATATATAAGTATAGTATAACGTTGCTATAGAGTCCCAGCTTTCCTGAGGTGAAAATAATCTATCGTCGTGTGACAACATTATTTTATTATTTTCATATATATCACGGAGTACACGATTTAATTCCCCTTCCTCTTTCCATCACTGGAGGACTAGACGTAGGCTTGGATTGCACCCTTATCTTGTGGAT